CTGAGGCTGTAAATCTTTACAGGAGCAGAAAGCCTCATCATTCTCCCACGGAACAGCTGGTAGTTTCGAACTGCTGACCTTGCGGTTCACAGCCTGATTCGTAACCACTACGCTACCAGAGCTCCTTGGCTGTATGTAGATGGATTAATTTCTGGATTCTCAACTCTTTTCCATTGATCTGTGAAGCTTTCCTTGTACCAGTACCAAGCTGTATTGACCACTATAGCCGTGTAGTACATTTTGGAGTTGGGAAGTGAGAGGTTTCCAACCTTGTTCATCCTTTTAAGCAGTGCTTTGCTTATCCTGGGTCTCTGTCCTTTCAATATAAAGTTTGTAATTGTTTTTTCCATCTCTTTGAAGAATGTCGTTCGAATCTGGTCTATCCAGGACCTTTTAATGGGATGTTTTTCAGAGCAGTTGGTCATGGTAGCTGGTCACCATCTAGTTCTTCTGGTCTTGGGGTTTGGAGATTGAGGTTCACATGGCCCATTAGTCCACTGGACTAATTGTTAAAGGAAATAAGTGTCTTAACAAAAGAGCAGCTTTTCCTTTGCAATATGGGTAAAAAATACAAGACAGAGTGCCTAAAGATAAGACAAGAACAACAGGTCATTTCATGGCTAGTGGAGGTCCATCTGCTAAGCTCAGGACATTATAGGGTTGTTCCTGACCAGCTGATTTTCATCTCCAAAGGTACAAGCAAGAACAAGTAACCTTAAGAAAAATAATGGGAGAACATAGCCTAACACAAGAGCATCTTAAGAGCAAGAACTATAGCATAGTGCAGTGAGAGACAGCTCCACACAGAGAAACCCAAGAGCCTCTGTTGACTGGGGAGCTTCATTGAGCAAGTAACATTAACTCTCCAAGACCAAGCTCCTTCACCTTAAAGGCAGACAAAATTGTTATGGAGAGCAGATAAAACACGTATAAGTATTCAGTACAAAGCTGGTTACCTGAATGTAGTTGTAGGTAAACACTGGAATCATTGAAATTATGAGCAGTATTGGGCTATCGTTTTATGATAGATGTTGTGATAACCAGGAATGTAAGGATGAATGAGGTATGCCCCTTTCCCTCAAATATCTTTCAATTTACAGAGAGACAGAAATGTACACTGATACTTTCATTTAAGAATTATTGACACAGTATGATCCACCCAGATGCACCCTAGAAGAGAGGCCTTGCCATCTACTTATGAAAAACCAACCCTATAGAGCACAGTTCTACTCTGACACACAGGCAGTCACCATGTGTGGTCCCAAAAGCAATGTTTTTATTTTTGGTGCCACATGTATACCCCAGTGGATAAAAAACAATGGCCTACTAGATGGAGAAAGAAAAGATCTTGGGGAAGTGGAAATGTGTATGGAGGAATAAGCTTCAGAGGGTAGGGCAGGAAAAACCTGAGAGTGGATTTTATGTAGATGGAAGTATGAAGAATGACTAGGACTAACTAAGAATTTCTGACTTAATCATCTGGTATTAAGGGGGGATTCCTAATTTACTGCGGTGGAGATCAAAGGACGAATGGGGACGGGGGTGGGGGTGGGGAGAAAGTAGAAAATCTAAAGTTCCCTTCTGTATGTTTTAGGTTTCATGAGATTTTAAGGTTTCAAGTGAATAATCAATTGGGTGTGAAATTCGGCAAAGAGGGCAAAAGTACAGAATCTGAGAAAGTCAGCAGGTTGTTGTTGTTAAGTGCGATCCAGTGAGTTTCAACTCATAACGACCCTGTATAGGGTGAGCTTGAACCGCCGACCTTTGCTATTCAGATTTTGCAGTCCAGTGCATTAACCCACAGCACCACACCAGGACAAAACTAGAAAATCTGATAAAGTCAGCAGGTGGTGGTGACGGTGATGTGCCGTGCGTGGAGTAGGTTCTGACGCATAGCGACCCTGTACAGGGTTTCCAAGGCTGTAAATCTTTACCGGAGCAGAAAGCCTCATCTTTCTCCCACAGAACAGCTGGTAGTTTCGAATTGCTGACCCTAGGTTAGCAGCCCAATTCATAACCACTACGCTACCAGAGCTCCTTGTTAATCTCATAGAGAATGAGAAAAGCGTCCAGAACACAGGAGAAGAAATCCTAAAGTATACAGAGGCAGGAAAGCAAGCTTTTCTGAAAAGGAGCATCCAGTGAAGACATAATGGTCACCGGTAACAAATGCTGCTGTAAAATGAGATCATAATGAGGGGTGTTGGGTTAAATGGCAGGTTTAAGTACAATTCTATCCACCCCTGTTATTGTTGTTGTGAAGTGCCGTCGAGTCGATTCCCATCCCTAGCGACTCCTGGACAACCTAAATTCAATTGGGTTTCCAGACTAGCACACAGCGCCGCCTAGCAGAAGCTAGGACATCCTGGTACCAAGCAACCACCAAATTGCTGTGGCTTCCGCCTTCCATCGACTCCGCCCCTAGGCTTTCCAATCGAGTTTAGAGACCATCGCTCTTCCCAGGAAGTTATATCTGTCTCCGCTCCAATTGGAGGCTAGGGCCGTACCATGGCGGAGAAGACTCAGAAGAGGTGGGTTTTATTGCTTGCGATTAGCCTCTTCCCAATTTTCCGCAGAGGTGGAATCCTGGTTGGCAATGGTGGGACTGAGATGGTGTTTTGTTCTAGGTGCTCAGTTTAAAGCCTAGACTTGACTGAAGAGGCGGAGGTGGGGAGGGGGGTGGTTAGGGCCTAGGATGCGGAATTGTGTGTGGATGTCTTTTGTTTCTCTACTGTACCTTCATCACACGCCTGCGCAGAAAGAGGGGGCTGTCAGGGTGGGGCTTCGAGGAGAGCTTTACACCGCCTCCTCGCGACCCTGGGGGCGACGGCGCCTCCCTATTTGCAGTATCGCTGGGTGGAGCTGTACACTACTGAACCAAGAATCTAGCTGCAATCTGTACGTCTTGTAGCTGGATATTTGGTTGAATTTTCGAAACACTCTCGTTAGTGTTGTTGTTAAGTGCCGTCGAGTCGATTTCGACCCTTAGCGATCCTGTGTACAACAGAATGAAACACTGCGGGGTCCTGCGGCAACCTCACAATAGCTGCTACTCTTGAGCCCAATGTTGCTGCAACTTTGCCAGCCCATCTCGTCGGGGTCTTCCTCTTTTCCTCGGACCCTTCACTTTACCAAGCATGATGTCCTTCGCCAGGGACTCGTCCCTCCTGATAACATGTCCAAAGTAAGAGCTACAATGTCTGGTCATCCTGGCGTCTAAGGAGCATTCTGGTTATACTTCTTTTTGCACACTACCCACCTTTTACATGCATATAAAACTACTGAAAATACCACGACTTTGTCATGTACACCTTACTCAAACTGACATCTTTGCTCTTGAACACTTTAACGAGGTCTTGTGCAGCAGATTTGCCTAAGGCAGTAAATACCGTCAGTAAATACCGTCCTTTGATTTCTTGACTTCCATGAATACCGATAATGGATCCAAGCAAAATGAAGTTTTTGAAAATTTCAATCCTTTCTCCGTTTGTTGATGTGAAGTGCCATCGATTCCTACCCATAGCCCCATAGCGACCCAGTATAGGGTTTCCGAGGAGCAGCTGGTGAACTTGAACTGCCGACCTTGCAGTTCAAATGGCTTTCTTCTTCATAGAATCCAACTTTTCGGATTATCTACTCAACATACAGATTGAATAAGTATGGTGAAAGGATATAGCCTATCCCATACATTTTCTGTAGTATCCCCTTGTTCCGTTAGATGACTGCCTCTTGGTATATGTACGGGTTTCACATGAGCACATTAAGTGTTGTTGAATTCCCATTTTTCACGATGTTATCCATAATTTGTTATGATCCACAGAGTCGAATGCCCTCCCGTAGTCAATAAAGCACAGGTAAACCATTTTTCTGGTGTTCTCTGCTTTCAGCCAAGATTCATCTGCCATCAGTAATATCCTTCCTGCCCTCTTCTGAATCTGGCTTGAATATCTGGCCATTCCTTATTGATGTACTGCTGCAACTGTTTTTCAATTATCTTCAGCAAAATTTTACTTGCATATGATATAGGTGCCCAGGTGTGGCACTATAGAATTAGTACTAGACTGCTGCTAGCTGCAAGGCTGACAGTTCAAACCCATAAGCTGAGCCACAGGAGAAAGATGAGGCTTCCTACTGTAAAGGTTTACAGCCTCAGAAGCCCTATACAGGGTCAGTCTGAGTCTAAATCAACTTGAAAGTAGTGAATTTGGGGTTTGTTGGGTTGCTTTTTTTTTTTGGTTGTATTAATTATATTGTTTGATAATTCCTGCATTCTGATGGATCGCCTTTCTTTAGAATGGGAAAACTGATGATTGCATCAGGCAAATCTGCTGCACAGGAACTTTTTAAAGTGTTGAAGAGCAAAGATGTCAGCTTGAGGACTAAGGTGCGCCTGACCCAAGCCATGGTATTTTCAGTAACCTCATATGGATGCGAAAGCTGGACAGTGAATAAGGAAGATCGTACAAGAATTGATGACTTTGAATTGTGGTGTTGGAGGAGAATACTAAAAGTGCCATGGGTTGCCAAAAGAACCAATAGATCTGTTTTGGAAGAAGTGCAGCCAGAGTGCTCCTTGGAGGCCAAGATGGCTAAACTTCGTCTCTCATACTTTGGACATATTGTCAGGAGGGAACAGTTGCTGGAGAAGGATAGCATGCTTGGTAAGATGGAGGGTCGGAGAAAAAGAGGAAGACCCCCAACAAGATGGATTGGCCAGGTGACATCATTGATGGCGTCAAGTGTGGCAGCGGTAGTGAGGTTGGCCCAGGATCAGACATTGTTTCGTTCTGCTATGCATGGGGTCTCTATGAGTCAGTTCTGACTCAATGGCACCTGACAACAACAACATATGCAGATGATTCAGCCTTTCTTGCTAAAAGCTGAGAAGACTTAGAGTACTTACTGATGAAGATCAGAGACTACAGCCTTCAGTATGGGTTGCATCTCAATGTAAAGAAAACAAAAATCTTCACCACTGGACCAATAAACAACATCATGATAAATGAAAAGATTGAGGTTGTCAAAGACTCCATTTTGTTTGGATCCATTATCAACATTCATGGAAACAGCAGTCAAGAAATCAAATGATCTATTGCAGTAGGCAAATCTGCTGCAAAAGACATCTTTAAAGCCTTCAAGAGCAAAGATGTCAGTTTGAGGACTAAAGTGCGCCTGACCCAAGCCATGGTACTTTCAGTAACATCATATGCATGTGACAGTGGAATAATGAATAAGGAAGACTGTAGAAGAATTGATGCATTTGATTTATGATGTTGGAGAAGACTATTAAAAGTACCATGGACTGCCAGAAGAACAAACAAATTTGTGTTGGAAGAAGTATTATTGCCCAAATGCTCCTTAGAAGCCAGGATGGTGAGACATGAACATGTTATCAGGAGGGACCAGTCCCTGTAGAAGGACCTCATGCTTGGTAAAGTAAAGGGTCAGTGAAAACGAGATGGATTGGCACAGTTGCAGCAGCAGTGGGCTCAAACCTAACAATTGTGAGGGTGGTGCAGAATAGGGCAGTGTTTCATTCTGTTGTGCATAGGGTTGCTATGAGTTGCAACTGACTCAACGTACCTAACAACTACAAAAGGTATCCTAGTGTGGTGCTGTAGGATAAGCACTGGACTGTTTAACTGAAAGGTGTGTGGTTCAATCCCACCAGATACTCCCGGGAAATCCTACACAGGGTTGCTGGACGGCAGTTAACAGCAGCATTGAGCAGGTGCAGCTACGTGAGTTACATCAGTTGAAAGTTGTGCTCAAAAGCTGTATCAGAAAAGTTGAATGTGCTGAAAACTTAAAAATATTTTATCAGAATGGCATCCATATTCTATTAAAACATCTCACATAAGAAAATTTCAGTCATCATTGAGTATATGTTTAAAAGAACATCAGGAATCTGCTTCACAATAAAGTTTTGAAAAAATAAATAGTTGTAATAGCAATTTTCTTTTTAGTGAAGAAATGGCAAAAAAAAAAAGGATACAAAAAGTACTATTAAAATGTTTTCTTCTATCTGCTGTAAGCTAAAAATGAGCATTTTTATACATGGATATTTAAGGTTTAGTAATTTATTTAAAATACAGAGTTAATGAATTTTAAGACCCAGTTTCATGAATGTTTTAGATTTTTGGTTTTGGATCTTAAGAAACTAGAA